GAACCTCTTAGCGCCCTCGCCATGGTGCTGCAAGCAGCGCCGGGCGACGACGACTTACCGCCTCCCGGTCCCCCTCGGCACACCTCCGCTGCTCAATGTTTGACGACTCGAACCCGTGAAGCTTCCCCGCGCGCGGGTTACCCCGCACACGGGTCAGCCTGCCAGCCACAAATCCACGCAAGCGTGGTCCGCGCGCATGGCATACAGGCGTCCGCCAGACAGCGCAGAGGCTAGGCGACCGGGGAAGGACTAGCTCAAGGGCAACACAGCGTCACCAGCCGTTGGCGCGCAGAACGAGTCAGCGGCCCCCGGTTGGGACGAGTGCGCGACGCGGACGAACCGCTCAATGTGGCCGGCAGCTCGCGCTGCCGGCGGGGTTGGTTGGGGAGAACCGGCACGGGGAAGGCCGGCCTCCCCGGAGGGGTCGCCCCCTGGAGGGGCCCCAAAGGGCCCCCCGGGGGGGCGGGGGCCCCCGCCCCGAGGGGCGGGGGCGGGTCCTTCCGTGTCGCTCCCGTCGTCGGGATTGTCCGTCGGGATGGTGTTGTCCGCCCACTCTGTCAAAAGGGATGCCGCAGGTCGCACCTCATATTCACTGTTTGCAACCTCGCTCTCTCTCAACAACCTCGCCGTGTAGATATTTGAATATCTTGGTGACACGTGTGTTACAGACAGGGGCTGGGACCCACCCATGAGAGCGCCGGCCATTGTACTTGTTCACCATTCTCAACCCATTTTGCCTCTTGCTGCGACCTGCCACCTCGCGGTCTGTCGCGTCGGTTGCCTCTGCGCGCGAATTCTTTTGCCAAGGCCGCCTCCTTCTACAGGCTGCTGCTCTGCGCGGCTGGATGGCGCTTGCCACCCTCACGCTCGCGCTCGCCGCGGCTGCCCCGGTTGAGAAGATTTTCGGTATTAACCCTCGCGATATCCTGCACTCGCGCCCGCCCGCGGCTGCCCCTCCGATCCCGTACAAGGGCACCGGCTGCTACGAGGCGCTCACCCAACCGCCCGAGCCGCCGCCGCATCTGCGCCTGCGCCGCCGTCAACACCCTCCCCCGCCTCTGCCCGCCGCGCACAGGACCACGCCTGCGGAGTCGGCTGCCCCAAGGGGTACGTCTCGATGCCGGACCGGTACGTGAAGGCGACGTCGGACATGTGCTCCGACTTCTGCTGCCCCAAAGACCGCCTCCACCCGCCGCCACCTCCCGTCACGGGCTGCGAGCTCGACGGCCATGCTGCGGTCTGCAAGGCGCGCGCGCACACACACACACCTGCCACCACCCAGGAACACCACAGAGATAAAAGGCCCACCGAGACCCTCCCGCGACCCTCTCGGCACGCTACCGGTACCGAGGCAGAAGGCGCCCTGGGGTGGGCCGGCCCGTGTGCCGGCCTTCGAGGGCGAGCCTGTCGCGCGTCCATGACACGCCCGGGACACGTCCACAGACAGACAGACGGAGCCGAGGCTGGAACGCCGCGCCCCGAGCCCTCACCGTCCTCGTCCTGCGCCCCGAGCGCCACCCGCCGCGTCGCCACATACGCGCCATACGCGCCCTGCAGTTCAAACGCGCGCCCGCCCGAAAACGGAATCCACACTTGCTCCAGGGGTAGGGGGGCCCCGTCATACTGCTGTGAATACGTCCCGAACACATATGCTGTGACCTGGTAGCATATGCCCCCAGCCGTAGCATATGCGGACCTTGTAGCATATGCGTCCTCAGCCGTGCCAGCTGCGTCCGGCCAGGCGCGCACGGAGCAGCCAGAGTGCTTCGCCGCCTACGCCGCGAAGAAGGCGGAGAAGTCGGGACTGCCCGGCCGGTGAGGGCCGCAGCCCTCCGCCCGCGCGCTTCCTCTCCTACCCTGCCACGCGCATCTCCCTCTGCCTCTCCGATCTCCCTCTGCCTCTCCGATCTCCCTCTGCCTCTCCGATCTCCCTCTGCCTCTCCGATCTCCCTCTGCCTCTCCGATCTCCCTCTGCCTCTCCGATCTCCCTCTGCCTCTCCGATCTCCCTCTGCCTCTCCGATCTCCCTCCTCTCTCCGCCCCCTCCGCCCCCTCCCTCCGCCTCTCCGCCCCTCCCTCCGCCTCTCCGCCCCTCCCTCCGCCGCCCTCCCTTCCTCTGCAGCCTCTCGCCGGCGTTCCTCCCGCCCGCCGCACCGCATCTCCCCCCCCCCCCCCTAAAATGGACCCCCACCCCCCACCCCCCAACCTCCACCCCCCACCGGCGGAGGTACTTTGAGCAGATCCTGCAGTGCAGCTGCGAGAACAAGCCGCCCGAGCTCTGCATCAACGCGCTCGAGGGGGAGCCGGCCGCCGCCGCCGCGCCGCCGCCCGAGCTCTACCTAGCCCTCGGGGGAATCACCGCCGCCGGAGCGGGCGACCCGAGCGTAGATGCTGAACAATACACAGACTCCGGGTGCCGGGTCGAGTCTAGCGGCAGAAAGGACACACATTCCGCAGGGCGTGGCCCTTGTGTCTAGCGGCAGAGAGAACACCCATCCCGCTGAGTTCGTGACCGCGATGTGCACTGCACAGCACCGCAGTAGTCCCGCCGCTCATTCTTGGGGTGCTCATGGGGCAGGCGCCGGCCCCCCCGTCGGGCTCCTCGCCGCGATGGTCTACATCCGGGGCAAGCGCAAGCAGATGATGGTCTGAAAGGACCCCCCGAGGGCCGCGGCTTGGGGATTTCGGTGGGACCCGGTTTGGCGCGCGATGCGCACCAATTCGCACACACGATATCCATGTCCACACACATACACACACCACTTCAGGGTTTTCACAGTTTCCAGGGGAACAGGGGGGGCGGGGGGCGGGCCTGAATGAACGAAAGTGGCCCCTATTATTATTTTTTTACCCCGA